AGCTAGCAAAATGGCCACGAGTGCATATTGAAGGGCCCAATACACTCCAATGTTGCGTTGACGCGCGCGCACACTGGGCACAGCGACGCTGCGTTAGCGAAACGCGAGAACTCTACAGTCTGACGCCAGGTGTGACCAGCACGACCAGCGTCCGTCGGCGCGGCCCGACGGCAACCAGCGCGAAATGAGGCATGCTCCATATCGCGCCGATGCGTTACCCAGGCAACACTGCGTCTCCCTCTCTTCGTGACAGAGACACGCCGGACGCGCATGCGTCAAAGCAACGCAGCGCGGTGCACGCCTGCCAGTATATGGCAGGACCGGCGCCTGGCGTGGCAACGACGGCATGACGCGACGAAATGAAAGCCGGCGAACACGTGCACCGCGTCACGTCGAAATGTATTGGCGCCTTGACTGTGGCATGTAGTCATGTTCTCATATGACACACATCTTGTTATTATCATGTTTGCACCAGTCACATACTTTCGTCACCCATTGACGTCACGTAATACCAAGTTTGGCATATGTGAAGCTAGCGAAACGGCCGCGATCACATCATGAGTGTTGCATGTAGTCATGTAGTTACATGGCACACATGTCATCATTATCGGTAATGTTTGGATGTGTCATTTATCTATGTTGTCTGTTCGCGTCGCGTAACATCGAGTTTGGTACATGCGAAGCTAGCGAAACGGCCGTGAGCGCATCGTGAGCGTTGCATGTAGTGATGTTGTTACATGACACGCATCTCATGTTTATCATCTTTGCACCACAATCATATCTTTGTCATCCATTCACGTCCCGTAATACCAAATTTGGTATAAGTTAAGCAAGTGAAACGGCCGCCAGCGCATCATGAGCCTGGCATGTAGTCATGTTGTTACATCACACGCATCTCATGATTGTCATGTTTGCACCAGTCGCATACCTTCTTCCTCCATTCACGTACCGTAATACCGAAATTGGTATATGTGACGCTAGCGAAACGGCCGCAAGCGCATCGTGAGCGTGGTATGTAGTCACGTTGGAGTCTAACGATAGTGTTCACCATGCAATCATGTCATACCAAATCAGTTTTGCAACATGCCATGTGAGTGAAACCACCACAAGAACTGCAGGACCATGGAACGTAAATCATGACATCCATGACATCCATGTCATGATTTTCATGTTATGAGTAGTCAAATATGATCTTCATGCAGTCATGTTATGTCATACCAAGTTTTGTATCGATACCATTATCGAAACGGCCAGGATAGCTAAAAGTCATTGGCGGCTAGATAAATAGATAAATAGATAGATAGATAGATAGATAGATAGACAGATAGATAAATAGATAGATAGATAGATAGGCAGATAGATAGATAGATAGATAGATAGATAGATAGATAGATAGATAGATAGATAGATAGATAGATAGATAGATAGATAGATAATAGATAGATAGATAGATAGATAGATAGATAGATAGATAGATAGATGGATAGATATGCTGAAAGTCACCGAAGTTCGCTAAGAAATGCTTGGCATTTAAAAGCCATGCTGAGACTTACATGCTAGCACACTTGTTTTTCTTTTTAGAGTCGTGGCGTTTGGCTTGTGGCGGTGATAAAGTGAAGATAGTTGAAGTTTCTTCTACTGATGAGGCACGAAGCGCACCCAGCGGGCTTGAGCCTACAAATGGGATAATATCAATTTTGTGTTTATTTTTTTAGTATAATTTTGTCGACCAGTTGTATGGCTTTTGCAAAATCTTGGCGGTCGTTCGTAAAGCTAAGCAAAGAAATTTACAGACATAGAAACCGTAGACAACCGCAACACGTGGTTTATATTGTGTTGCGTTAGAAGACTATTAACTATGTTGTATATCATCACGGTTATTAACCACGCAAACAATTGTCTTCCTGAGGTAGTAAGTAGGTATTAGTAAAATAGTATGCCACACGAAGTGGCATACTTTTTTTTTTACGATTCAACTTTCACATCGCACAGCGTGTACGCACATCCCGCCGTCTTAAGACACACACTACGAGGATCCCGCCACGTAATTCTCATGTAAAACTCAGTGAATATTTGGGTTGCACAAGGCCGGTGCGCCGAAGAAATTAAATGTCTCATGCCGGTTACCCCGCTTCGTTCGTGTTAATATAGCCACATCAACCACACTGATCACCGTGTTGAGCCGAGCTGCGAGGCTAATTGTTTTGACCAAACCTATATCATCATAAATATAAAAGTGAAACGAAGCGAAAGCAACACAGCTGGTTGATATGTGGGATTTAACGTCCCCAAACCACTATATGATTATGACAGACGCCGTAGCAGACACCTGCATGCATTAAATGTCCTCAGGGGGACATGGTGTAGAGCTGGTACAGAAAATCGCACAAGTTAATAAAATTTCTTCTTTGCAAAAAAAAAAAGTGATGCCGAAGTTTGGCAACAGTTGCCTTCTTGAAGAGGCTATAACATATCTTATAAATGGAGTAAAAGCGAGGATGGGTACGTCCTTTAGCGGTTGGCCAAATCCTTTCTTGCTAAGCCGCGAATAGGCTCCGGTGGCCACTCTTGACATAGTAATCTAGTGTCTAGAAATATACTGCCTAGTGTGCTGAGCGCGCGCATTCCGTACGAGAGAGGGTGGCCGCGCATGCGATGACTGCACTCAGATGCCACAAGCGGCGCTGCGTGCCGAGAGGGTGCACGAACACGCGAAATTCCTCTCGTCTTCTGCTGCCGGAGCCTCGCCACGTTTAAAATCAGTGTGTGATAGCTGCCATCTGATTTACTGTGAAGTTCGACGGCGCCATATGTACACTGCAACATCTTGAGATGGTAAAAGCTAAGCGACAATGCAAAGAAAGGACGTGTATTGTGCCGCTGTGTCAAAGAAGTTATCTGTTGAATAAGGAAAAGGTGTCTTGTTTCCCGCACTAACGGATCCAGTACGGTTTCCTGAATGCAAAAGTAGGATCAAGAGGGCAGACAGAAGGCTGAATCCGAAGGCTGTCTTGTGAGGAAAGCATTCTGAGAGTGACACCACCGAACTATCTTTTCGGATAAGGGTGAACGATGTCGAGAATGAAATTACCGTTCGGGCCAAATTTCGAATAATATTATTCATCTAAAAAATCGAAAATACCCTTTCGAATTTCATTCACACAGTTTTTCTCCCATGTCAACGTCGGACTCCCTTTCCAACAACGTTTTGAGTATCATAATTAGCGAGTGTCAGGTTATTCATTGGCATGTTATCAATTTTTTTTTTGTTTTCACTCGAATCCTAATGGAATGCAGGCTAAGAGGTAAAGGTTTTAGGGCCTTCTGCGATAATTCTCGTTATTAAGAACAAAGCACATTTTAAAAAATAACTCAGGTGGTTATACTGTCAATCATCCGTCCGTTCGTCTGTCTGTCTGCCTGTCCGACTGTCTGTCTGTCCATCCGTCCATCTTTCCGTCCGTCTGTCTGTCTGTCCATGTGTCCTTCTGCCTGCCTGCCTGCCTGCCTGCCTGCCTGCCTGCCTGCCTGCCTGCCTGCCTGCCTGGCCTGCCCGCCCGCCCGCCCGCCCGCCCGCCCGCCCGCCCGTCCGCCTGTCTGTCTGTTTGTCTGTCTGTCTGTCTGTCTGTCTGTCTGTCTGTCTGTCTGTCTGTCTATCGAATCGCCTACGTCTGGGTGCCCTCACAATCACCCCCTTAACTTAGGGTCTTCGAAATACTTTACAAGAAGAGCTGAATAATCCTGAAACGCCAATACTGGTCCCAGTGTTGCCTATCCAATTTCTTGCATATATTTAGGGCCACTTATGTTTCACTTATTAAGAAACACAGAAGCGTCACCTTGCATAGCATTGATTCCCAAGTTACATGGGATCTGCATCTTTTTTTTTTCTTGCTGGTAGTAGCAGATGCCGAAATGTATGCCACGAAATCATCTTCATTTGGTATTGCAAAGCGCCAGTACAGTGAAAGCAATCGAGTAGTTCTCATACTATAAAGCATTATGTAAAAAAAAAACACTCCGAAATGCATGAAAGTCATAGTTGGCCTCACGCGGCTCGGCCTCCTGCAGGCTTCGCAGCTCTTGCGAAGCGCAAGGATTAAACGCAAATGCACCCACTCGCACAGCAGCACACCATGCAGGTGCTGCCGGCAGTCATCAGCTGCGGGGTCATCTCCTAGCCCATGCTCAGCACACTAGGCAGTTATTTCTAGTCACTGTAATAGTATATTTAGCTATGCCTTTACTACGACATCTCTCATAATCATATGGTAGTTTCAGGACGTTAAACAACAGCAATTATTATATTACACACGCACATGTTGTACAGGTACCCCAAAAGTAGAGCAGATCACGCGAGCTGTGGCCAAACTAAACAGAGCTGCATGTAGGCGCGCTTGGATGCGCCGCTGATAGCGGAAGTGCGGAGTCGCCATATCTATCCGACTCATTCCGATATTTTGATACTTGCCGAATCGCTTGCTCAAGCAAAGCCGAGCTGCCATCTTCACTCATCGGCGGCGTACTGCTTAAAGCGAACCGCCAGGCACGACTCTGAAGATTTCTTCACGAAGCGGGGGCAAACAAGTGCGCAAAGCGAAGAGCCCCTGGAGCTGGTGATAATGCAATTGATATGTGGGGTTTAACGTCCCAAAACCACTATATGATTATGAGAGACGCCGTAGTGGAGGGCTCTAGAAATTTAGACCACCTGGGGTTCTTTAACGTGACCCAAATCTGAGCACACGGGCCTAGAACATTTCCGCCTCCATCGGAAATGCAGCCGCCGCAGCCGGGATTCGAACCCGCACCCTGCGGGTCAGCAGCCGAGTACCTTAGCCACTAGACCACCGCGGCGGGGCTGGTGATAATGCAAGAATAGCTGATTGAGCGCACTGACATGCAGTTTTCCCTAGTTTGGCCACAGCTCACGTGCTTCGGTGTATTTTTGGGACACGACTTGGAAAGACGCCTCAGGTGAATTAGCCTTCGTGAGTACAGTTACGCAGCACATCTTGGTTCTTGTTTATTTTCAGGAAACATGTAAAAAAAGCAGAAATGCGCGAGTGCATCTCTGTGCATGCGAGTGAGACATGCCTCTGCCAGGGTCATTCTCCCCGACACATGTTCAGGATGCGCGCAGACTGTCGAGCACACGTGACGCTGGAAAGACGCCTTTTTCGGTGATGATACCTCCCGTGATGAGCTCGTTCGGGGTGACGTCAAATGCTGGGTTCCAGCACTTGATGCCTGCACAGAGCAAGAGCAACTGCGTCATCCCACAGCGCTGCCCTGTTTTGTCTTTCTGCAGGCATCCCCATACATATCTCAAGTTGATTTCAAGCAAAAAGCAGGAAAAAAAGATACGATTTACCCAGCGAACTGGCAAAAAGACCTATAAAAGACTGAAAAGGCGCCTGTCCTTTGTAAGCCTCAAATTGCAGCAAAATAACACAACGCTGAGTGTAAATTTAACAGTCTGTAAGGAAATAGACAAAAATGAGACTTGCTGCATGCTAATCGCATACGTGCATAATAAAGCAAGTCAATGAACGAACTGGCCCAGGCAATATCAGTAAAAAGAAATGAAACAAAGTTTTGAGAATATTAACATACGTAATATTTTAATACATAGGGTTTAAAATATTGATAAGGAACAAATACACTCTAGAGGATACAAAACAATGAATATTATGAAGATTATAATTTTGCGTGGATATATGGCAAGTGTGATTGTAAGTCATGGAATGGAATGAAAAAACTTTATTTCAGTCCTGCAGAACGCGCGTAGCGGGCGTCTCCCACGTAGGGACCGACAGGGAGTACCTGGCGGCCGCTTCGTGGGCCTGCTGGACGGCCCATTGCTGGTCGGCGAGAAGTAAGCTCCTGAGGGACCTCTCCCACTTGCTTGAAGTAGAGTCGGGAGGAGTTGTTCTACATGCGTGCGAGCATGTGTGCGAGTGTAGCTGTGTGTCCACATGATGGGCATGTGTCGCTGGAATATGCATGAGGATAATAAACATGAAGCGTGGCAAGGTTTGGGTACGTGTGTGTCTGTAATAGGCGTAGGGTGAATGCCTGCGGTCGGTTAAGTTTCGGATGTAGGGGTGGAAAAGTGTGGCGTTCCAGGTAAAAGTGCTTTGTAATTTCATTGTACGTAATTGGTGCATCCCGATTGGTATCTAACCCAGCAAGATGGGGTTGCCCTGTGGCAGTGCGGTCGGTAAGTGCGCGCGCTGCATCATGGGCGATCTCATTGAGGTTAGATAGGGCACCCGGCACCTGGCCGAGATGGGCGGGGAACCAGATGACAGAGTGGTGCTTCAGGGCACTCGGGTCCGCTTTGCGCAGGATACGTAACGCCTGGTCGGAGATGACTCCGTGTTTGAAGGCTTTGATGGCCGGTCTGGAGTCGCTGTAGATAAATTCCCGTTTGCTGTCGAGCATAGCTATAGCTATAGCTACTTGCTCCGCTACTTCGGGGATTCCGGTGAGCATTGTGGCAGAGTTAAGAGTCTGCTGCGCGGACGATACCGCGACCGCGGCAAATGCTCGGTTGTTGCGATAGGCAGCGGCGTCCACGAACGAGACGTTGTCCGCTTCCATGTCTATGCGCTTGAGAATGGCGGTCGTCCGCGCAAGGCGCCTGCCTCTGTTGTATTCGGGGTGTACATTTCGTGGAATGGGAGCGATCGTGATAAGGTCGCGGATTTCACGGGGAATTAGAGTCAACTTTGGGGGGTCCCTGGCCCTTGAGGAGAAGAAGCCGAGCTCGCGCAGAATATGGCGGCCCGCCTTGGTGGTAGTGAGTCAGGTCAATTGCACGCGTTCCTGAGCTTCGGCGATCTCTTCTAGCCTGTTATGTATGCCAAGCTCGAGAAGTTTGTACGTTGGAGTGGTGATAGGGAGGCCAAGGGCTCGTTTGACCACCTTGCGAATAAGCGCATTGAGTAGATCGCGCTCAGCACGTAGCCATTTGTGTATAGCGGCAACGTAGGTAAAATGGCACAAAACAAACGTGTGTACGAGACGCAGCAGGTTGTCTTTGAGGCCATGGTGCCTGTAGGCTACTCTACGTACGAGTCGTATGGCATTCTCAGTCTTAGCCCTGAGCTTGTGTACTGTTTGGGTGTTGGTTCCGCCGGACTCAATGATCATGCCGAGGACCTTGATGGTGTCTACCCTGGGTACAGTACGACCATCTCTGGTGTGAAGGGTGATATTGCATTCCGCCGGAGGTTTCCACCCTTTGGGCTTGGCACCCCGGGGTTTGGGCAAATATATCAACTGTGCCGACTTCGCGGGTGAGCACCTGAGACCTGTGTCGTCGAGGTAAGATTCGGCGGTGTCGATAGCTTCTTGCAGTGCGGACTCAATGAAGCCATCCAACCCTGTGGAACTACAGGCGATTTCCATCTTTCCAAGTAACAGTTAACGGCTTATGCAGTGCGTTATATTACCCTGGCAGCAAACTTGGAAGGTGCGTGACAATAACGTCCGTTGTTCTCCGGCAGAGAGCTCGCTCTGTTCCTTCGCTGGGGTGCACAAGCACGGGCGCGCCAACTTTTACGCACAGATGTGTGTGCAATTGCGGGTCGCCACCACCGACCACGCTCGTAAGTCATTTTCTGTAACTTAACAAACGGCTGTTGCGTCGGCTTTTATAACTGAGTGGCACACGAGGGACCGACATAAAGCAGGAATATTGGAATGCCCATTAATGCTATTGTAACCCACCACGGTGGTCTAGTGGCTAAGGCACTTGGATGCTGACCCGCAAGTCGCGCAGGGTCGAATACCGGCCTCGGCGGCCAAAATGCTTGAGGTCTGTGAGCTTCGGTTAGATTTGGCGCACGTTAAAAAAACAAAAAAAAACCACGAGGTCGAAATTACCGGAGCCTTACCTACGCCGTTCCCCATAATCATATGAAGGTTAAACCCCGACAATTATGACATGTTCTTAATGCTATTGTACGAACCGGCAATAAAATCTGTCGAGTAGATATATCTTACGATCAAACTGCCATGTGCGCCCCATTTAAGCACACGTGCGCAGGCATCAAATTTCGATTCACTGCACGCATTATTTTTCTTCTTGACCAACGAATGACGTGGAAAAGTTGAACAACGCCCTCGAACTCTTCCCCCTTTATTTTTTCTCTGAACAATAAAAAGTACAGATAAAGAGAGATTGAAAAAGAAAAGAAGGTTCCATGCGCCCTCGTTGTTTTGTCGATTAGAGATATCGCACACTACAACTATATTGGCGCCAAATTTAAACCCGTGTGCACAAGGATTAAGTTTCCACGTGCGTGTGACGCAAGGAGGAACGAATGACGACGAAAAGTTAAACAGCACCCCCCCCCGCCGCCCCTGTTCCTTTTCTGAACAAAAAGAACAAAAATAACATAAAAGATAAAAAGAGGTTGAAAAAATAAATAAATAGAGTATGTCAGGCGCACAGGGTGCCACATTTAAACCCATGTGCCCATGCATCAAATTTTGATTGGCAATACGTATGGTCATGTGCGCGTGTGATACGGGCAACCAATGACGTCGCAAAATTAAACAACATTCTCCTCTTCCATTCTCCCAAAGTTCCTTCTCTGCTATAAAAAAAAAAACAGATAAATTTTGAAAAGTAAAAAGAAGGTGCCATCAGCCCTCGGTGTTCCCAGGTGGTCTCCTTCCCAAGTACTGACCGAGCCCAATGCTGCAGTTGTGTGACAATCCGATTATCTAATTGGCTAAATAACAAAAAAGTTTTAGTAATTTATTTTTTACTTGGTTTTGCCAGGCGAGCGTATCCACTTTAAGAAATTGTGCGGCACCATTATTCGCCAAGATGGCAGCAAATATGTATATATATATATATATGACGCAGGATACGGGATGGCTGTACGATGAACCATCTATTTTGTCTTCGTCTTCCTTGTTCTCTACCATTCCACCACACCGTTCGCGTGTGGTTCGTCTCACACACACATATGAATATATATATATATATATATATATATATATATATATATATATATTGTCACGGGGTCGTGACGTGGCCAAAGACAGGAAACTTCGTGTTGGGATTTAACTGTTTATTTGGGCGAACCTGTGCCCGGTAAAGGGAAAGTCTAATTACAGCAGCAGTCTTGCAGAGATAGCAGTCTCGGACTGATAGCGGCGAACGCAGCGTCGGCTTTCGATCAACAACTGACAAACGGCGAAGCGCGTCGGCATTTATACCATTGCCGTCGAATGTTCTAGCGTTATCGCTGGCGGTGGCGTAGGTTCCAGAACAATCTGTACCGTTCGCACAGTGGGCGTGATCTTATCGAAATGATCTACTACAGTCCGGAACCTTCTCGAAACCTGCAGGCGCAGTTTGCGCCGAGAATCGTGAGGTGTTTCGGAACGATAACAAAAACTTGTGAAATGAAACGTGGCATTGCCCCCCTCTGAAAAAATGCATCGTCTCGATGCTTTAACTAAAGATGAAGGTATAATAATAATGCAAGAAAGTAATGAATAAATTACAATACAACAATAATACAAAAAACACTGTTTCAGTTTGTTAATGTGCATGAAACGGCTTGAGGCGCGCGACATGAATGACTTCAGGTCGCGATCGGCGTCGTTGAGAGTTCGTGATGCCGTCGGGGACAACCTCGTAATCAAGTGGGCCGAGACGTCGAACCTCCTTGTACGGTCCGAAGTACCGTCGCAGAAGCTTTTCATTTAGTTCACGTCGGCGTATCGGCGTCCACACCCAAACACGTTCACCGGGCTGGTATTCCACAAAGCGTCGTCGAAGGTTGTAACGGTGGCTGTCGGTCGTCTGTTGATTCTTGATACGGAGACGCGCAAGTTGTCGGGCTTCCTCGGCGCGTTGAAGGTACTCGCTCACATCGAGGTTTTCTTCGTCGGTGACGTTGGGTAACATGGCATCGAGCGTCATTGCCGGGCTCCTTCCGTAGACCAATTTGTATGGAGATATCTGCGTCGTCTCCTGCACCGCCGTGTTGTATGCGAAGGTCACATACGGAAGAATGGCGTCCCACGTCTTGTGTTCGACATCGACGTACATTGACAGCATGTCGGCGATCGTCTTGTTAAGCCGCTCGGTGAGGCCGTTGGTCTGTGGGTGGTACGCTGTCGTCCGGCGGTGGTTTGTTTGGCTGTATGCCAAGATCGCTTGAGTTAAGTCGGCAGTGAATGCCGTTCCTCTGTCGGTGATAAGGACCACCGGGGCGCCG